AGATTGGGCACTCTGTAAAAAGTGAGGAGGGAGGAATCTCATCAATTTCAAAGAGAATAAATTCAAGTGAGTTTTAGAATGAGCTATTATGATAGTTGAAGAAATTTGGACAGCACAAGCCTTAGATAAACCAGAACAGGATATTAAGGATTCAGTGTAGACTTCCAACAGAAAGTAACAAAGGAGAAGAAAAGAAATCTCAATAAAAAATGTCAACAAATGGAGAAAAACAGAAAATAAGATGGTTTCAAGATTAAAAATACTTCAGCCAAGAAAGAATCTCAAGAAAACTCTATCTCTATAGAAGCAAATGAAAGATGAAAATACAGATGGTCCTTAGCTTATGTCCAGTTGCTTAGCAACCGTTTGACGTTCTGTTGAACCTGTTGGGGGTACTTATGACCCAGATTCAAAGTTCCAATGGTCACCCCCTGGTCATGTGACCATACTTTAGACACTTGGCAACCAGGCCACATATACAGCCAATCACAGTGTCCCATGGTGATGTGACCATGGTTTACAATGGTTTTGCCAAAAACTGGTATTTATTTCCAGCTTTTAGCAAAACTGCACTCATAGCGAACATTTGGTTTGCTTTATGACCACCACAAAAAAGGTCATAAAGTCAGATTGGTCACATGACCATTTTACAACCTTCATAACTTATAGCAATGATGGCAGGCTTCATTATGGTTGTAACTTGAGGACTACCTGTACTAGAGTATAAAATACTTCACACAAAAAATGACAGAATCATATGCAGAGAGATATTATATTGAAGTAGTGACAACTCTTAGACCAGGGCTTTTCAACCAGTGGTACGGGTACCACCTGTGGTACATTGGCACCTGGCAGGTGGTATGCGACCATCCTAGAAAAGTGGTAGCGGAGGAGGGGAATGAGCTGAACCGGTGGCAGCACTGTACAAGCCTGAGCAAGAGATGGCTGGAGCTGCATGGCTGTCAGGGCTCAGCGGAAACGCCAGGATCAGCGCCAGATCCTGGCGCTTCTGCTGAGCTCAGAAGAAGCACCGATCAGCTGGAATGTTGGAGCATCTCCAGAGTCTTGTGATTTACATTCAGATGCTTGGCAACTGATTCATATTTATGACGGTCACAGTGTCCCAGTGTCATGTGAAGTGACCAAAACCTGCTGCAACCACCCAGCAGACGGGGGGAATAAAAACCAAACACCCCCCCACCCCCGCTGCCAATCTTCAACAGAAATGCTCACAACAATGAGAACCTCGGACAGGAGGAAGAGCGCCGCTGGGTGGGCAGGCGGGTGTCCTGCTCAGCTGTGGCTTGGGGGCACTTTTTTCAGTGCCATTGTAACTTCGAACAGTCACTAAGCAAACTGTTGTAAGTCGAGGACTACCTGTACTTTATCACTTTTTTCCTTTCCTTTTTTTTTGGTCATCAAGTTTTTGACACCTTGCTAGGCAACTGGTGGTGCTTGGATGTTGCCATATCCTAAAAGGGGTACAATGGGTGAAAAGGTTGAAAAGCCCTGTCTTAGACAATAAGGTACTATAGACAATTGCTCTAATGTCAAATTATTGTCATATAAGAATGAAGTAAATTATCCAATTATTATCAAATAAGAAATCACTAAGCTCAGCTGAATTACTATTGAATGTGTAAAGTTACAAGAAAAGAGTTTTGGAGTCCTTGGTACTCTCTGAGCTTGGTTGTTTTCTTGCAGACGTTTCCTTACCCAAACTAGGTAACATCATCAGTGCAAAAGAGAGTTAAATTTTTTAACTTCTCTATATCAACCAATGTGAATTAAGTCCATGCAACCAAGAAATTGGATAATACTGTCTTACATATCTATACCAAAGAAATGAAATGCAAAAAAAGTATGCACATTATTGAACTAATTCCTCATGGAAGTCAAGTTTCAGTGAAGAACTGGCAAAGAAGAATACAAAGTGTGCTGAGAAAGAAATTCTAAATAGCCAGACAGGGTTCAGAAAAATGTCAGAACAGAGAGCTAACACAGGATAAATAAAGAGCAAGAAAATATAGAAGATTCATCTTTGTTTTCTTCACAAAAGCAAGGCTGTTTCTTTATATAAGGATGTATAAGGCTGCCCTACTCAGGCAGTGTGACTGGGCAACATACAACCTAAACATAGAATAATATTTTTATTTATTTGTCAAGTTTCTACACCGCCCATCTCACGTAAGTGACTCTGGACGGTTTACAAACAAGTTAATAAAGAAGTATATAACATGACTAAAAGCACAGTTAAGAACAAAATAAAAAAACATTAAAATTTACAAGTTATCAATGTTAATGATAATTTAAAAACTAACCACAAACAACTGATATATAAATGCAAAAGCCAAGATGTAAAATGGCACAGAAAGAATTGTGATCATATTAAAATGTGGACTATTGTAAGGCTAATTGAACTTATTGGGAGATTTTATTGTTCTTATGAAGAAGCTCTTTATGGAAAAAGAACATACGCTAACAACTGAATTCGGAGAAATGGATGGTTTAGGGAAGGGAATGAAATGAGGGCACACCTCAGCCTCATGTTTACTGAGCTGTATACTGAATATAATCTTAAAAGGGCAGGACTGGAATAGATGACAGCTGAAATCAAAATAGCATTAGTGTTTTGCCTCGGGCAGGACTTGAACTGAACAGTTTCCTGATTTCTAGCATAATAAGACCTAACCACTACCCCAACTGGCTCTTAGCAAATTCATACTAGGCATCAAAGAACCGAAGGTGGTAGTTTTGCTTTCTTGGGTTTAAGAATATGTACCAATGGATAGTGTAGTGTAGAAATAAAGAGGAGATCTGCCTTCTTCCCTAAAATCAATAATAGACTAATACAAGATCATGATAATAAAAGTCAGAAGAATTAAACCAACAGTTGCAATGGATGTGGGGACAGTTTGAATGTGGGAAACCCAGATTCTAGAGCAGAGGTGTCCAAACTTGTCAATTTTAAAATCTGTGAACTTCAACTCCCAGAATCCCCCAGCCAGCTTGGAGTTGAAGTTCACAATTCTCAGTATAGATGCCTTCACTTTGCACTGGATAGAGGTTGACTTTTTAATAGTTATGCATACAGACACATCAGTACATAGGTAGATATAGAGATCCATGTGTGTAAATACGATACAATTCGGCGCCTGCAGCCAGCCTTGTAGCATCCTCAGAGATCAAGCCCACCGCACGAAAGGTCATTATTTAGGGCAAAGTATTGAAAATACCATTCAGACAGCTTTCAGATGCTGTGAGGTTTTAGTGCTGTCACGCTGAGTGTCTGTGACCTAAAATTAGCAGATTAGCTGCAGATCCTGAGAAGATCAATCAGTTATTTGGAACTGCAGGCTTCCTTTTTCAGCATTAATCTGTCTTTCCTTCTTGCCTGCAATTTGGAAAAGCTGCTTTTATCTCGTGGGTGGAATTTTGAGCAGGAAGCTTGCACAGTGTGGAAGGATTATTATTAACTACTGAGCTGGCATTTTTGGATGCCTTCATGAGAAACCAGGCGGCAGATTCTGCTTCCTGAAATGTGAATTTAGCTAGTTTACCTGAGCAAAGGCTGAAGTGATGTGATGCTTTTCCTTGCATTCTAGGAAGATATCCCATAGTGAATGCAATACTGTACAGAGTCCTTGACTTACAACTGCTTGTTTAGTGACCGTTCAAAGTTACAATGGCGCTGAAAAAAGTGACTTATGACTGGTTTTTACACTTACAACTGTTGCAGCATCCCAATGGTCAGATTTTGGTTGCTTGGCAACTAGCACATCTGTATAACAGTTGCAGTGTCCCTGGGTCATGTTATAACCATTTATAGCCTTCCCAACTAGCTTCCAACAAGCAAAGTCAACAGGGAAGTCAGATTCACTTAACAACTGTGTTACTAACTTAACAATGCAGAGATTCCCTTAACAACTATGGCAAGAAAGGTCGTAAATTGGGGCCAGACTCACTTAACAACTGTCTCACTTAGCATTGGAAATTTTGGACTCAGTTTGTGTCCCCAGGTGGAGGACTGCCTGTATGCAGTTTTACATCAGTTCAGCCTCATAACTGACTAAATTTCTTTCCCTTTCAGACATGTACCTATGGTAGGATTGCTTTCTTAAAAATTTAAACGTTGACTGTGACCAAATTTTAGAAACTTGCTATTCTTCTCTCATAACAATTAGTTTCTCTGCCTTTTCCACCCTTGTATGAGGATCCACTTGATTTATCTTTGGTATGTGCACAAATTAGAATATCAGGAGCTTTTGCTTATAGTCCCTTAATGTGTACAGTATGTGAAGCTGATTTTATCATAGGACTGGACCTTGTATTTTATACTTTAGTTTTGCACTAGATTGAAGATAAGTCCATGATTACTTATCCTGGTGTGAACAGCAGAAAAGGTTATTGGTAGTTCACTTCCTTCTAATCCAGGACATGGCATATATACTGCTTGAGTACAATCCGCAGTATTGTTAGGGACGCTACGCGTCCTCTCTATGACCAGTTTTTCTTGTTCCCTTCTGGGAGAGGGCTTCATGGTAGCCAACCAACCCACCTACAGCAACTAAGCCAGCACTCCACACACACACACCAATATTTATAGAGAGACGGCAGCTCCGATGACACTTTGCTCACACAAGCACGAAGCCGAAGACCCCAGCCTGAAGATGACGAGTGGGACCTCGTCGAAACGTCGCCAAGATACTCTCAATTTTACATGGGAAAAGACCCGAATACACACACATTTATTTATTTTTTTAGGGCAGGCAGCAGAATTTCATTTTTAATGTATGCCAGTGTGCTCATAGTATAAAATGACAATAAAGCTTCTCTCTCTCTCTCTCTCTCTCTCTCTCTCTCTCTCTCTCTCTCTCTCTCTCTATCTATCTATCTATCTATCTATCTATCTATCTATCTATCTATCTATCTATCTATCTATCTATCTAATTTGGTCAGTGCAAATGCTTAATCTTCTTGTTGTCTTTTCCTCCCTTCAGAGATTAGCTGTAATCTATTGCCACGTTCCCGCCGCCTGCTCCTCTTGCTCAACCCCTTTGGGGGCAAAGGTAACGCACTGCAGTGGTGTCAGAGTCACATCCTTCCCATGATTACTGAGGCAGATGTCAGCTTCAACTTGATCCAAACAGGTAAAAGCTCCAATGGGGAAAAAAGTGACCTTAAGAATAGTGGATGACTTTATCTCTTGACAGCCTTCCCCATGCTGGTGTCCTCCAGAATCCCACTGGCCCTGCAAGTTGGAATTCTGGGAATCACAGTTCATATACATCAGAAGGCCAGCAGAATGGGAGAAGTTGGCCCAGGAAAACCATAATTTATTTTTTAAGGAGTTGATGTTTTGAAGCCATCATGGGTGGAACAAGAATGCAAAGCTGATTTGTGGATATATTCAATGACTGTGATTTTCCAGGATACCGGTGGTGGTGGTAGTGGTGGTGAGGATAATGATAGTCTTTATTCTTTTTTTAACTAGTAATCCTACCTTGAACTAGTTTCTTATAGTGGCTAAGGCAGCAGACTGGAAATCAGGAGACTGTGAGTTCTAGTATCACTTTAAACATGAAACCAACTGGGTGACTGTGGGCTGGTGATTATCTTAGGAAGTAAGCAACAGTAAACCATTTCCAAAAACCCCTGCAAAGAAAATGTCAGGGACTTGTCTAGACAGTCACTAGGAGTCAAGTCAAGTCAAGTCTCAAAAACACACACATAACAAAATCCTGCTTATATTATGTGTTTGTTTCTTTTATATATCAAAGTAGTGAAAAATAACATTTTGGAGGCAATTATGGTCACAGAGTTCTCTAGGATCTGAAGGAAATAGTTGAGTGACCGTAAATTCTTGGACCAAAGTAACAGGATTTCTCTGCTCTCACTCTGTGCCACATGTGGAGTAGATCTCTGATTGATTTATCTGGGTTGGGGTGTCAAACTGCCGGTTGCGTCATACGGAGGGGAGGCCACGTCAAAAAAAGTCACGATACATCGTGACATGTCACGTGACAAGGCGAGTTTGACACCCGTGATCTGGGTGATGTTAAGTCAAGTGGTAGGGATTTCTCATTTCCAGTTTTTTAACCACGAGAACAGCAGAAGTGCTCCAAGTTTGACTATATTACACTACTGAAAGGAGAAAGTTAGAAGCAGGGAAAACTAAGTGTGGGTTTTGCAAAATGTAATGTGAACTGAGTTAACTTTTAACATCCCATGTTGACCACGAGGTGGAGAGGAAAACCCAACATTATTGAAATAAAATCTATTACGGGTAGCCCTCGACTTATGACCATACTTCAGCCCAACATTTCCGCTAAGTGAAACATTTGTTAAGTGAATTTTGCCCAATTTTACAACCTTTTTTTGCCACAGTTGTTAAGGGAATTACTCCAGTTGTTAAGTTAGAAGACAATTGTTAAGTGAATCTGGCTTCTCCCTGCTTGTCAGAAGGTTTCAAAGGTGATCACATGACCTTGGCACACTGCAACCATCATAAATCTGAGTCAGTTTGCCAGGCATCAATTTTGTGTCAGTGTGAAAAATGATCATGTCATTTTTTTTTAAGTGCCATTGTGAGTTCAAACAGTCACTAAATGAACTGTTGTAAATCGAGGATTAGCTGCATTCTATTTTGGGAGTTCAGGTTAGTGCACTTACTTTATTGGCAAATTAAACCAAGATGCTTCAAAATTCATCAAAACGGAAGAATAGACATGTGTTTACTATTCATGTTTTCATCAGGTTAATCTTGGAAAGATAGTGGAATCAATCTCCAAACAAAAGTTAGATCATGTTATGTGTAGAAGTGGCGGCTGCAACCAACAGTTCTCTAAAGCAGGGCTTTTCAACCAGTGGTACGGGTACCACCTGTGGTACATTGGCACCTGGCAGGTGGTACACAACCATCCTAGAGAAGTAGCGGGGGAGGGGAATGAGCTGAACCGGTAGTAGCACCGCACAAGCCTGAGCAAGAGAGGGCTGGAGCTGCAGGGCTATCAGCTCAGCGGAAGTGCCAGGATCAGTGCCGCTTTCCAGCTGATCGGCGCTTCTTCGGGGCTATCAGGGCTCAGTGGAAGCGCCAGGATCAGTGCCAGGCTCCAGCTGGAGCTCGGTGCTGATCCTGGTGCTTCTGCTGAGCCCTGAAGAAGCACCAATCAGCTGGAATGTTGCAGCATCTCTAGTGCAGCATTCAGGTGCTTGGCAACTGATTCATATTTATGATGGTCACAGTGTCCCAGGGTCATGTGAAGTGACCAAAACTTGCTGCAACCACCCAGCAGATGGGGGGAATAAAAACCAAACACCCCCCCAACCCCACCCCTGCTGCCAATCCTCAACAGAAATGCTCACAACAATGAAAACCTCGGACAGGAGGAAGAGCGCCGCCGGGCAGGCAGGCATCTTGCTCAGCTGTGGCTTGGGGGGCACTTTTTTCAGTGCCATTGTAACTTCGAACAAAGCGAACTGTTATAAGTCGAGGACTACCTGTACTTTTTTCCTTTTTGGGGGGGGGGGGTCATCAAGTTTTTGACACCTTGCTGGTGATACTTGGATGTTGCCATATCCTAAAAGTGGTACAATGGGTAAAAAGGTTGAAAAGCCCTGCTCTAAAGAAATAAAGCCTCTAAATGTTGATGCCCCATTTCTGAAAATTTGAAATCCAGCTGCTAAACTCAATACTGTTTTCATCCATGGGGAGTGAAAGTTTTCTAGAGCCACCCACATATTTAAAAAAGATATAGAGAAAACTAACAGCCAGAGGATCCATTGGATTCAGTGAAATTTTGCTAAAATAGGTTTTTTCACAAAATGACCTGCTTGGTGAATCGTGGTTTCTTGTAGAAAACAATGAAACGATCACCATAGACAATTCTGTGGAGCATAATCCATAAACATCTGTGAATTAGGTTAACGAAAAAAAATCTCAAAATTCAGGATGAGATATTAGAATTTGCTATATCTGCCTTTGCTTCAGGGTTCTCCAGAGGTCAGGATTGACTAGCATCTGCAGAATGATCTTCTAGAATCTAGATATACCAGTTTTTACCAACTAAACATGAAGCTCTTGCAACATTTGAGAACAGGCGTGTCCATAAGAACACTTGCAGTATACAAGAGAGGGGAAGCTGTGAGGTTTTGGGGGAGGGTGAAAAATATTTCTCCAGCCAAGCCTTCCCTAGGAAACCTTTTAAAAAAAACACACAATTTCCCCTCCGCCTCCGTCCTTCTCTCCAGCTTTCTGCACCACTGAAAATAATTATGCTTCCTGCTGCTGACAGTTGCATTCAGTCATAAACACAAACCTCCTCACCGAAAGCTTTGCATAATCACTAAAATACAATTAGAATTAATTGTTCACCAAAATGCGGAAATTACAGCCATTTACTTTATAGCCCCAGATTTTCATCCACGGTGCCAGTCACACACACTTGTGCAATAACTTCAGCCATTCAGTAATTAATGCAACAGCTTCTTCATTCCATATACTTATAAATAGCCACTTCCTTCTCACAGAAGACAAATCACAGTTGTCACCAAGACACCAGACACTGAAGCAAGCTGTCAGGTCAGAAAAGAGACTTGGAGGAGCTCAGCTACTTAATGTTATGCCTGTCCTTGTCTTCCCCAGAGAGACAGAACCACGCCCGGGAGCTGGTGCAGAGCATCTGTTTAGATGAATGGGATGGTATTGTGGTCATTTCAGGAGACGGACTTCTTCATGAGGTATCGTTCAAACAACAACAACAACAAAACTAACCAGTGGAAAAAGCTTGCCTTCAGATGTTGTGGGTGCTTCATCACTCGAAATTTTTAAGAAGAGACTGGACAGCCACTTGTCTGAAATGATATAGGGCAGGGGTAGGCAACCTTGGCTCTTTTATGACTCGTGGACTTCAACTCCCAGAATTCCTGAGCCAGCATGGCTCAGCTTGGAAACCTCTACCTTTCCCCTCAGCATGGCTGGCTCAGGAATTCTGGGAGTTGAAGTCCACGAGTCATAAAAGAGCCAAGGTTGCCTACCCCTGATATAGTGTCTCCTGCTTGAGCTAGAAGGATCTCCTGCTTGAGGACTAGAAGGCCTCCAAGGTCGCTTCGAGCTCAATTCTATTCTAAGTTCAAAAAGACACCTGCTCATACTCACTTCCAGTTACCTGTAGAGCTCCTTTGCTGCTTCTCTTAAAACTGGAAAAAATTAAAATTTTCTGGTCTATTTGGGTGGGGTTTGGGGAAGAGAAGGCCTCTCCTTCCACCTTCTGTCTAGATGGGGGTGGGGAAAAAGAGGCTAATTGAGAACATAGGAATTTACTTGATTTTGTGTTGTATGTTCTTCCCGATATCTTCTTCCTAAAAAATATTACCAAGAGATCATATGTAAATATTCCTGAGATAGGTGTTTGCCTACATTAGCTGAACTTTTCCCTCCAGGTATGTTGGATTATAATTTCCACATGCAGAAGTCCTTGACTTAACGACCACATTTGGGACTGGAACTTCCATCTCTAAGCAGTGCGACTATTAAGGGAGTCACACCTGATTTCACAGCTTTTGTTTTGCTGTGGTCGTTAACTGAATCACATGGTCCAATGAATCCAGCTTCTCCCCATTGGTTTTATCTCAGACGTTCCCTCTGAAAAGGTCGTAAACGACATAATGTGGTCTTGGGACTCTGTAACTGTTGTAAATACAGGTAGCCCTTGACTTACAGCCATTCATTTAATGACCGTTCAAAGTTACAACAGCATGACAAACGTGACTTATGACCGTTTTTCACACTTAGGACCATTGCAGAATCTCCAGGGTTACATGATCAAAATTCAGACGCTCGGCAACAGACTCGTATGTCTGACGGTTGCCGTGTCCTGGGATCATGTGATCCCCCTTTTGCGACTTTCCGATAAGCAAAGTCAATGGGGAAGCTAGATTCCCCTAACAAAAGTGTTACTCACTTAACAACTGCAGTGATTCACTTAACAACTGTAATAAGAAAGGTCATAAAATGGGGAGAAACTCACTTAACAAATGTCTCACTGAGCAGTATAAATTTTGGGCTCAATTGTGGTCCTAAGTCGGGGATTGCCTTTACATGCCAGTGGCTAAACATGTGACTTTTGTTCATGTGACCGTGGAGACACTGCAACGGTCATAAGTGCGAGGACAGGTTTTACTTTTTTCAGCACCATGCTAACTTCAAATGATTGTTAAATAGAAGTCAAGGGCTACATGTAATGGAAGGGCATAAGATCAGAGAAAGAGGGACTGAATTGTTGCATATCCACCGCAGAGAATAATGTTGCGTTTTGGAATCCTGTTGATTGATCAGGAGGGTTTTACCCAAAAAAATTCCTGTAGGATTCCTTGGAAGAACATATAAAACAGCAGTGCTGGATTTCCTACTATGCTTGTATGGTCTCCTCTGATTATTATTATTTTTTTTGATGAACTGCATTAGAAGTACAAGTGGTCCTCAAGTTAATGGAGCCTGCCTATTATGGTTGTAAGTCATGATGGCCAGACAATTTTATGAACATTTTCATTAAGTCATTTGCAGAAAATCAGAAGTAAAGGCCGGTTTTCACAAAACCATTGTAAAATCTGGTCACTGTGACCAGAGAGCACTGCAAATGACTATAAATGTGGCCCAGTTGCTAAGCCCCCAAAGTGTGGTCATGTGATCATGGGAGGGGCAACCATTGTAATTTTGAATCTGGATCATAAATATTTATTTATTTATTTATTTATTTATTTATTTATTATTCCAATTTGTATCCCGCCCTTCTCCCGAAGGACTCAGGGCGGCTCACAACATTATTAAAAACAAAGAGAGACCCACACACCCCACCGAATAAAACCAAATTAAAACCAATATTTTAGTGTTGTAATAATTAAAATTTCTAAAAAACCCAATTTAAAAATCCTCCCTAGGCCAGGCCCGCTTGTTGGAAGAGCCATGTCTTGAGGGCGCGGCGGAAAGTAAGGAGATCCGGAATAATCCGGATCTCGGGGGGTAGTTCGTTCCAGAGGGCAGGGGCACCCACAGAGAAGGCCCTCCCCCTGGGGGTCGCCAGCCGACATTGCTTGGCCGACGGCACCCTGAGGAGACCCACTCTGTGGGAGCGTACCGGTCTATGGGAGGGAATCTGTGGCAGAAGGCGGTCTCGGAGGTAGCCAGGTTCTATGCCATGGAGCGCTTTAAAGGTGGTAACTAACACCTTAAAGCGCACCCGGAAGGCCACTGGCAACCAGTGCAGCTCGCGCAGCAGCGGCGTTACATGGGAGTGACGAGTCCCTCCCAACACCGCCCGCGCGGCCGCAGGTCATAGTTTCGAACAGTTACTAAGGGGCCAGTCATAAGTCGAGGGCTACCTATGTTCACCCTTCTCTGCTTTCCTTTCAGGTTATTAATGGTTTGATGGAGCGTCCTGACTGGGAGGAAGCAGTTAAAATGCCTCTGGGGATTCTTCCCTGCGGATCTGGGAATGCCGTGGCAGCAGCTATTAATTGTAGTGCTGGGTAAGTGGGAGACCCTCTCTAAAATATAATGCAGTGGGGCTTAGGCCTAGTACTCTTCAACATCTACATCAATGATTTGGATGAGAGGATAGATGGGGAACTCATCAAATTTGCAGATGATGCCAAGCTGGCAGGAGTAGCCAACACTCCAGAAGACAGGCTTAATATGTGTTTAGAGCTCAAAGCATTGTTAGAGATCCCCACCCATCCACTTTATGGTCTGTTTCTGTTACTCCCCTCTGGGAGGAGGTTTCAGAGTATTTCTAGCAGGACTAACCAATTCTGTAATAGCTTTGTTCCCTATGCCATCCGTCTGGTAAACTCGCAAGATTCGTTTTTCTCGCCATACACTTGTATACATAACCCGAGCTACTATAGGCTGTTATTTCTCTGTGTCATATAATATATGTGGGTATATGCATAATTCTATATTAATTTATTTATTTTTATCATATTTATGTAGTGTATATTGGAGGTGGTGACCCTTTGAGAGCTGAATGCAACAAAATTTAATTTTGATGTTTGCCATTCAAAGTGACATTCAAAGTGACAATAAAGTTATTATTCTATTCTAACATACAGAAGGATCTTGACAGACTTGAACACTGGGCCCTATCTAACAAAATGAAATTCAGTGGTGAAAAAAGTAAGATTCTATATTTAGGCAAGAAAAACCAAATGCACAGGTATAGTATAGGGAGTACCTGGCTCAATAATAGTAACTGCGAGAGGGACCTCGGAGTCCTAGTGGACAATCAAATATGAGCCAGCAGTGTGCTGCAGCTGCCAAAAAAGCCAATGCAGCCTAGGACTGCATTAACAGAGGGACAGAACCAAGATCACACGACGTGTTAGTACCGCTCTATAAAGCCTTGGTAAGGCCACACTTGGAATACTGCATCCAGTTTTGATCACCACAATGTAAAAAAGATTGTAGAAAGAATAGAGAAGAGCAACAAAGATGATTAGGGGACTGGAGGCTAAAGCATATAAGGAACGGCTGCTGGAATTGGGTATGTCTAGTTTAATGAAGAGAAGGACGAGGGGGGACATGATAGCAGTGTTCCAATATCTCAGGGGCTGCCACAAAGAAGAGGGTGTCAAGCTATTTTCCAAGGCGCCTGAAGGCAGGACAAGAAGCAACGGGTGGAAACTAAGCAAGGAGAGAAGCAATCTAGAACTAAGGAGAAACTTCCTGACAGTGAGAACAATTAACCAGTGGAACAACCTGCCTCCAGAAGCGGTGAATGCGCCAACACTGGAAGTTTTTAAGAATGGTATAGGGTTTCCTGCCTGAGCAGGGGGTTGGACTAGATGACCTCCAAGGTCCCTTCCAACTTTACTATTATTATTATTAGGAAGCAACGGATGGAAACTAATTAAGGAGAGAAGCAACCTAGAACTAAGGAGAAACTTCCTGACAGTGAGAACAATTAACCAGTGGAACAACCTGCCTTCAGAAGCGGTGAATGCTCCAACACTGGAAGTTTTTAAGAAGAGACTGGACAGCCATTTGTCCGAAATGGCATAGGGTTTCCTGCCTGAAAAGAGGGTTGGACTAGAAGACCTCCAAGATCCCTTCCAACTCTGCTATTCTGTTCTGTTCTAAAATCCTGGGAAGGGGTGGCCATTGCCCACCATGATCCTAGCCTTGCACTTCTGACCCAAGCCAGAAAGTGGCAGCATTTGAATCCTGTGTTCTTTAAGGTTCAGTCCTTGGATAGGGGAAGCTAAACCATGTACGAGTATCGGGAAGCATTCACAGAGAGTCTTCTTTCTTCTCCCACAAATAATAACTTTCAGCTTCTCTGTGTCTGCCATTCACAAGCGAAGCTTGCAGTTACACGGCTTTGAAACTGGCCCTGTAATTAATTAGATAAAAGTGTCCTTTTTGAGAAGGTAGATTTGCATTTAGGAGGGCAAAGAAAAGCACTTGCATCAATGGGCCCTCTTTATGGTGTGGGGTAATGAACATCATAACCATTTGCTAAGTTTCTATCCTGCAAAACCCATGCCCTGCCCTGCCCTGCCCCACCCATGTTTCACCCTCCTAATACTGGTAACTTGTAAGAACATTGACAGTGAGTAATACCTGGCTGATCATGTCTTGGATCCTTAGCTAAGGAGGGTCAGGCCTGGCTCCTACTTGGATGGGAGATTGCCAGGAAATAGCAGGGCTGGAGTGTAATGTTCAAACAGGATCCAGAACGAAGGCGGTAAACAACCCACTTCTGAAATAGAACCAAGAAAAAGTGTGTTACCAGAACTTGAGCTTGATCCAGAGACTTTCCCTTTCATTCTGTACTTATAAAAACATGTGATTCCCCCCCTTTTTTTTAGAGTTTGAAAAAGGACATAAAAATAGATGGGCTAAGTCTCTCTAAGAATTCAACATTTTCATGTTTTCCTTGTAATTACTCAACTCTCCTCCCAAGCCAAAAAGAATGAAAATGTTGGTCCTAACCTCCATGTATCTATGTATTTATCACATTTTTACACCACCCACCTTACCTTGTGACTCTGGGCTGTTTACAATAAAAATTATTCCTTTAGATTTGAATAGAAAAAGCTCACACAGGCTTAAGTGCCCCCCCCAGGAAAATCTTGTGATTAAGAACTGATATATACCTTTTCAGCCCCTATGCACAGCAATTGTTTCTGAGATCTAGCATTTTGAAAATCCCCTCTTATTTAATAATAAATAATAATAACAACTTCCCAATGCATGCGAGACTGGAATGAAGGCAGATTTCTCTCCCTGTAGGGATATGTATGTCTTGAGAAGTATCAGCAAGTGATACATATCTGAATCAAATATGACAAATATTGAATTATGTCTGTCAGTGACTACTGCAGGCAGCCCTCCAGGAGATAAAAACTAAAAGTTAAAACCCCAAGTGCATCCTCCAGCTGTAAAACAATTGTCCATCTAAGTCAGGGGTAGGCAACCTTGGCTCTTTTATGACTTGTGGACTTCAACTCCCAGAATTCCTGAGCCAGCCATGCTGAGGAGAAATGAAGAGGCTTCCATGCTGAGTCATGCCGGCTCAGGAATTCTGGGAGTTGAAGTCCACCAGTCATAAAAGAGCCAAGGTTGCCTACCCCTGACCTAGTTTATTTCCTAAATTTGCAGGTAAAAGTAGATTTCCTGTACAGGTAGTCCTTGACATACAACCGTTTGCTTAGTGACTGTTCAAAGTTACTGAAAAAAGTGACTTGTGACCACTTTCCCCATGACTGTTGCAGCATTCCCACAATCACGTGCTCAAAATCCAGATGCTTGGCAACTGACTCATATTTATGACGGTTCCGGTTTCCTGGAGTCACATGATCCCCTTCTGACAAGCAAAGTCAACAGGGACGCCAGATTCACTTAACAACTGTGTTACTAACTTAACAACTGCAGTGATTTACTTAACAACTGTGGCAAGAAAGAACACAAAATGGGGCAAAACTCACTTGACAACTTTCTCGCTTAGCAACAGAAATTTTGGCCTCAATTGTAGTCGTAAGTCGAGGACTACCTGTATATTGTTTCTAAGTGCTTACTCAGTGATGCTGTCCTGCCCTTTCTGTCCTTCCAAAGAGATGGAGGTTGATAGATGGATTGGATTGGACTGGACCGGACTGCCATCCACTTGGCAAACGACTCTGAGCAGTTTTGATTGTTCTGTCTCTGTTTTTTTGTCCCATTGGCCAGGTTTGAACAGGTCTTGGGCCAGGAGCTGCTGACAAACTGCACCCTTCTGCTCTGCCATGGGGCAATTTCTCCCTTGGACCTGGTCTCCATCACCACCGCATCAGGCACCCGTGTCTTCTCTTTCCTGAGTGTGGCCTGGGGCTTCATTTCAGATGTGGACATCGAAAGTGAGAAGTACCGGCACATGGGCCCAGCCCGGTTCACCTTGGGGACCATGGTTCGCCTGGTTTCTCTCAACACTTACCGGGGCCGGCTCTCCTACCTTCCTGCTCTTGGTTGTGCAACTCATCGGCCGATTTTGCGCAGTATCACCGTAGCCGCCAATGGGAGCCTTCCCTTCCAGCACCTGCCCCTCCACCGCACGGTCTCTGATATGGGCCTTTGCGAGGAGCGCCAAGCCTTCCGCCATCGTGAGATGGAGTCAGCTGAGGAGCCCACCCCCTCACCTAGCTCCCCACCTTCTTCTTCCAGCTTCCAAGCATCCAACTTCAGTTTTGAAACCTTGTCAGAAGTGACAGTTGACAAGGAGTCCCAGCACACCGATCTGCCCAAAGTTCTATCAGACCGGTTGCCTTCTGCCCGGCAAATGCATGGCCCTCTGGATGACTTTCTGGCCCCACTTGAACAACCGGTGCCCAAGTCCTGGGTGACGGTGGAGGACGATTTTGTGCTGGTTTTGGCCATTTACCAGACTCACTTAGGGGCAGACCTCTTCACCATGCCCATCGCTGGCTTTAATGATGGTCTTATCCATCTTTGCTTTGTCAGGGCGGGTATCTCCCGGGCAAACATGATTCGCCTCTTCTTAGCTATGGAGAAAGGCACTCATTTTGAGCATGAGAGTCCTTATTTTACACACCTGCCTGTCCGAGCTTTCCGCATAGAACCTCTCACTCACAAGGGAATCATTACCATTGATGGGGAACGGGTGGAATATGGGCCCATTCAGGGACAAATCCATCACGGGGTTGCCAACTTAGTTACTGGGATCAACCAGTCTAAGCTGACTACCTTCTGACGGATTGTGTTAATTGTCTTACAGAGACTAACAGTTCTAATTTGACTTCTGTTTCCTTCGATCTGTTCTCCAGCCACTAGAGGGCAAGATGCTTAAAATGACTCGTTACCCTTCTAGGCATTTGAGCATATACATCTTATATCCTATTAATGCATCTATAGATTGTTTTGACCATTGCTTTCCAAGAGATGCAGTCATCGACAGGCTGCCTCAAGATTTTCCATCACTCAGAAGCCCCTGGGCTCCAAGTCTCTTGGTTTGAGTGAGGTGGAACACAAATGTAGTGCCCTCATACGTATTTTTAATGTCTCAATTATTGACCTGGGGTTTCCATAATTCCACCCAGCATTTCCTTCTGTCATAATTTTCCAACCCTAAGTTAGCTCTTCTTCTAGAGATTAGAGGCATCTTGCCAATAGGGCTTAGAGGCATCTTTCTCACTATTGAAGGTTGGAGACAGTAAGCAGCTGTCTATCTACCTTATATTTTTGCCAGTCCCTTAAAAATCCTGGTTTACTTAAAGCTATAGGGCTGGGATGGTGGTTTAGCTCAAGATATTCCAGAGGAATTGAGCACTAAGGCTCCCACTGCCCTTTAGTCCTTGGAACTCAAATTAGCCTGACTTTTCAGCACTTGGTTTAAAACACTGGACTTTGCCTTTAAGCAAAACTTTATGTTCCACTGGTGAAATGGGATTCCTCTGCCCCCTTTCTCCAAGAGGCCGGTCAGTCCCCTATTCCAAGGTCTCGCCCATCTTTTGCTCACATTTCAAAAGAGCTAGAGCAGGGATAGTCAACCTTAGCTCTTTTATGACTCGTGGACTTCAACTCCCAGAATTCCTGAGCCAGCATGGCTGGCTCAGGAATTCTGGGAGTTGAAGTCCACGAGTCATAAAAAAGCCAAGGTTGACTACCTCTGAGCTAGAGGATGGGGACTGAGCAAAGTACTCATTTACTGTAGAGGCCCTGACGGTTCCGCTCTTGACATGCACTCTTGCACCTGTCCTCCATATAAACTGGAGTTGGGAAACTTAGGTCCCTCCAAATATTGCTGGACTACAAAGCCCCCATCCCTGATTGCTGGTCAGATGGGCTGGGGCAAAGGAACAATATTTGAAGACCACAGGTTTCCTGGCTTCCCACCCTAAATACAGGCCAAGGGAACGGCCCCTGAAACTGGATTTTGAATATACGGATAATTTGCTAAACGCTGTTTGTTGGAGTGTTTTATCTCTGGGTTTTTTTTCCAGATAAGTTAATTAAGGCCAATTGTTTTGTCTTCTCTCCTGGTTTACAGGGGGTTGCGTTTGGGTGGTCCTGCTATTCTTCCTCTCCATGGATGACCAAAGCCATATAAAGGAAGGAAGAAGACCCTATTTTCTGCAACCTACAACTGTTGATTTCTAACCAGCTTATGGTATGCTAGAGGGAGCGTAAAATACCATCTCCCTTTCATATCATGACTTGAAGGTGGCTTCATTTTAGGAATACACTGGATGAATGTAACTGGATTTTTCTTGTGGGAATAATTGTGTTAAGGTGGTTGTTTTTCCCCTCCCCACCATGTGGGGGCTAACAACCAATTAATTAAATTGATCCAAAACTGTAAGAGATAAGTGTCTGCATATGAGACAAAGCTTATAATATGTGTTCTCCCTCTCTTTCTCTGTTGTAACTAATTTCAAACCAGGAGACCAAGTTGGTTAACATCTCTCTTGTCCGACTTTTCCCAAGCTCATATACAGTGATAATCCCTACAGCAAGTAATCGCTTAGACTTGAGTCTCAACTCGCTTCAGGTTCTATGCCAACTTTAGTAGAAACTGGCTGATCTCAAAAAGCTGAGCAGAAGTGCCTGATTAATACTTCAGTGAGAGAGCACCTTGGAAAGCCAAAACTTTAAGAAAGCTGTAAAAAATATCCTGAATCTGGGAGAAAAACAGCAAACTGCGTCTGTAATTCTTCCAAGAAAACTTTGTGGACATAAACACTGCAGGAATCAACCTTTTTTGGCCTTCCCTGATCTGAGCGCGGGTTATGCTGTAAACATGGGGAAAGATAAATGTGAAGGCATGAGACTTTCTCCTTCATGTGGACGTTTTGGGACATGTGTCGTGCAAATTTGGACATACTCTATTGCTCTAGCCTTTCTCAGCTCTGTCATCTAGCTCCAAGCTGGAAGAAAGCATGTGAGTGAAGAAGCAGTGTGTAAAGATGGCTGTTCCTCATGGTTTGTCTGCCTTTTAGGAGAGTTACAAGAAGAGGATTGAACAGGCAAAAACGACAGCAAAGTAAAAGAGGGGCCAGTTGTGAAAGCACAGAATCCGGCCCATAAAAACAAAGAGGACAAGGCCAGAAGCTGATACCTTGGGATGTATTTCGTTAACTAGATCATAGAAGCTTAGATATTTAGGCCTTCCCGAGTCTGACCCTTCCGTAGTGCAAAACATCCAAATTTAAACATCCCTGATAGGAGGCTGTGTACGGTCCAGCTGAAGTTATCTACAAAGAAGAGCCATCACCTTCCTTAGTCATGAGCTTCAATGCTGATTATCTCTTGTTAAGAATCCTTTTTCTTGTGTTCAGTTGAAATCTGCTTCCTTGTACTTTATATGTATTACCCCCTGTCCAGCAGATTGAAATGCGAGTAAGGCGGTCTTGACTTTATACTGCGTGATACTTTTGGGCATTTGAAGAGAGCTACTAGATCCCTGCTCCATCTTGTCTTTTCAAGACCCAGTATTCCCAGTTCAATCTTTACTCTTACGAGTTAGTTTCTATCCCCACCACTGCCACCATGCAGTAAACATAGTGTGGCTTTGTACTTTGCCTCAGTTGCAAGCATCCTGATGCTGCTGGGTCTATGGCAAGGATGAGCAGAAAGTAGATTTGGATCCATTGATCAAATGTAGATGGAGGGGGGAGTCCTTGTTAAATATTGGCAGCAGCAGCAACAGGAACTTGCTGGAAGTGAAGCAACTTGCTGGAAGTGAAGTGAACCGAGTGTAATATGGATTTTGGGGATGGAGAGTGACCCATACAGGTAGTCCTCGACTTAGGACCGTAATTGAGTCTGCAATTTCAGTTGTGATGGTCATAAATTGGATTGCCACATGATCACGGACAATTTTACAAGCTTTTTTTGCGGGGGGGGGGATCGTTAAATGAATGCTATGGTTGTTAAGCAAACCCATTGTTCGCTATGGCTGGGTTTTATTTTTTGCCAGAAACTAGAAATAAAGGCTGATTTTCAGCAAATATGATATAAATTGTGGCCACGTGACCACAGGTGGTTGCAAATGACTACGTGCAGGCTGGTTGTTCGTGCCCACAATACAGTCACATGATCTTGGGGGAGGCAGATGTTAGAACTTGAAATCCGGGTTGCAATTAGCTTTTTCGAACTCTGTTGTAACTTCAAACAGTCGCTAAGTGACTGGTCTTAAGTCGAGGACTCCGTGTATATCCATTTCTGAATGCCATCACAAATTCCTGCCTTTCAAGTTGCATCCTAATTGATGCTTTGATTTTCTGCTAACAGACATGCTTGATGGAAGGGGAAAGAAAGGGTAATGCAAGTCTGAATCCCTCTGTCTGCTGGACCATGTAGAGAGGACCTCAAAGTGTGTCCAAAAAATAAAATAAAATAAAATAGAGCATTGGGAGCAGGATGGCAGAAAGTCAGTGCTGGTGGACTCCAGGTGACAAGTCGGAGCATGTCCTCCCCATGGATGAAAACCCCTCTTCTCCCCCTTTTAAAGACTATAAGTTGTTGCTAACCTCGTGGGCAGCGTATTAAGAACGATTGCCCCCTCAGCTGCTTGCTGCTCTTTAGCAACTGCAATAATATTTATAAATAATATTGCACAATGCACAAAAGTTCCTTAGCTTGAGCCTGGCTATGAAAACGGGTTGAATTACCACGAAGTATTTGTAAAAGCTGCTGAAGGAAGAATGGGGTGCTAGCGTTTGGCCCCTTCGGTTAACTGTATTGAGAAGTTTACTAGACGCGCTCTCTCTCAAAGTCGTAATATTAACAGCTTGTCACTTATATATGCACATAGGAGTAATTCTTGGATTGCTTGATTAATTTTGAAGCCAGTAGAATCGCTGAATTCACCTTTCCCCCCCTCTTTTCTCACTTTTTCCTGTTTCTATGTATATATCTGTGCTTGGGTGCTGATACTTGCCCTAGCCCAGGGGTAGGCAACCTTGGCTCTTTCATGACTCGTGGACTTCAACTCCCAGAATTCCTGAGCCAGCCATGCTGAGGGGACAGGGAGAGGTTTCCAAGCGGAGCCATGCTGGCTCAGGAATTCTGGGAGTTGAAGTCCACGAGTCATGAAAGAGCCAAGGTTGCCTACCCCTGCCCTAGCCTAATGAAGAATTTTGTGGAAGTCTAGAAGGTGAGAAAATACCTTTCTCTTTGCTGCTAGCCTTATAAGCCCCTCCTACCTTGGTCTTGGGGCAGAGTAAGAGCCCAGTTCAAAATAAAGATGATAACAGGCAAGGCTGTGTATCTTTGGGATTTGCTGTAAAATTTAGGTTCCCAAGAAAGCCATTTTTACGGTTTTACAGTGCAACCCTATTTTCCTCCCTCCATTCCTCCCTTCCTTCCTCTTCTGTCCATCCATTCCTCCTTCCTCCATGTCTTCCATCCCCTTCCTTCCTTCCCTCCCTCACTTCCAACCATTCTCTTCAATAATCCCTTTCATATGTTTCTTTTTGACCCCTCTCTCCCTTTCCATCTTTTGTTTTCCCAGCCAAATTCTCTTCCCAGAGACCGATCCCTTGTAGACCACTTGAAATTGGTACACAGGCAACATGGAGCTTATTCATGTTCCTGCCTCTTGGCAATTTCACAAGCTTTGGGTAATGGCAAAAATGTGAATCATATTTTTTTTAAAATATCCTGCAACACTTGCAATTGGTAATGGGATAGGGACCATCCGAAGGCTTATTTTTAATTTAAATTAATTTATTATTTGATTAAAAACATTTA